GCAGGGAGCCCGATGTGGGACTCGATCCCAGGACCCTGGGATCATGACCTGAGCCGAAGGCAGACGCTTAACTGACTGAGCCACCCAGGCGCCCCCCAAGACTCAGGTTTTAAAATCATGTCCTTAGTATCATGACAGCCCCTTCCCACACCCCCACCACTACCACCCGGTCCCTAACCTAGCTAGTTACCTCTTACTGTGCCCACCAGTCATGCTTCTGTCAGGTCACTCATCACACTACATTGTCACTCTCAGACTCTGAGCTCCTTCCTTGCATTACCAAGCATGACAAAAAATGAATGTGTGTGAGTGAAGGAAGGAATGAACTTTACATTATGGTGGAAGACTCAGTAGACATGAATATGTATTAAACCAAAAAAGGGAAACTAAGCTGATTCTGACAGTCTTGCCCTGAGTAGCTGTCAGACCCCAGGGGAGAAAAGACACAAACACTGCAAACCCCAGTGCCAGGCAGTGATGACTGGGACACAGGAAAGCATAGGAAGGCACAGATGCCAGGAGGCTCTGGAAAAAACTTAGAACAGGATATTGGAGCCCAGTTTTAAAGCACAAATAGAACTTTTCCTGACAAAGTTGGGGAGGACATTCCAGAAGCATGATGTCCACTGTATCCGACTCAAAGAGCTGAGTCAACCCTGAGAATTAATTCATAGTGTCGTTCAGCATCAGTTAGGGTTGGATATTTTCTAGTAATGAGCAGTAGTAACTGAGTCGAATCGGGCAGCACCAAACCACAAGTGGTTAGAAGTGCTCCACTGACAAGAGCTAGAGGCAAGACTTTTATAGAAAAGACCTAGAAGCAAAGCAAGGAAATTATTTGATTGCCTATAGTTGAAGCAGGTGTCTTATTTGGGAAAGCCTCGTTTGTGATTGTCCTTAGGTTTTGATTTCTTAACCTTGAGGCATTTACAGGCTTAGGTTTGGGTTTGCTAAGGCATTAGAACCACCTCAGTCTAATAGCCTCCTTATTTAATTTAACATTAATAATGCTACTATATGGTATTTATTATTTTTAAAAAACTGCATGGGTTCTGAAGTGCTTTTCATTGACACTGACGCTGAAATTTTCTTCTTTATGTCAGCAAACATTGAAATACCCAAACGAGTATTTCATAATCTTCTCCTTTACAAATGAGAGACCTGAGGGAAAGCGGCTGGCCCAAAGCCACAGAGCAAGTTCAAGACCAGGTTGAGAAGACCTAGGGGTTCTGAATCATCCTACGGAGTTTATCCTCAATCATTTCCCCTCTGCTGCTATTTGATGTGTCTTCAGCAGGGGCAGAGTCTCCCCATCCCAATCTGGGAAAGCATTCCCAGAAGAGGACATTTGAATTTCATTTTCCAGGATGGCAGGCTGGAGGTCACCAGATGAAAGCATTCTGACTTTCCCTCTCCCAGTGCTCTCTCTCAGGGAGTATACTGCTCCATCCTGACTTTTCCACCTCAGTTAAAACCTATATTAAATAACCTCCCTCAGTACGCATACTATTATCATTACTATACCTAACATTGGGAAAGTGAGGCAATGTGTTGTAGATCAACTGACTCGGGCTGAGACTCATGCTCCTCGTTTGCTTAATAACAGGAGCGGCTCTTCCTCTTTCCCCACCCTACTTCCCCATCTTTATTTGCACCTTGGCGCTGAGTTTCCATTTTCTACACATCTTAGCTGGAGAGATTCCCTGACTCCATCTTCAGAGACCTGGGATTTTTTCCTACTTCATGTTTTTGCTCCCGCATTGTCCCAGTACATCTTTTCAGTAGCTCCCGTATCCCAGTTCTAACTTCCCTTTCTCTTAGCATTCTCTGCTGTACGGCGCCAACATCTACTCGAAATATGGCGCCTCCCACTCCGACACACTTTCCGCTCACTAGGCGCGGCCATATTAATCCCCCCGGCTCCCGCCGACTAAACACCCGGTAAGTCTCGCGATAGAAGCAGGTCGCGGGCTGCCCTGCTTCCGCCGTTAACACCGGAGAGTCCGCGGCGCTCGCGGCGGAGGGGGCGGCCCTAGCGCTCAGCTGAGGGCCCTGCAGGCGAGGCTGTGAGTTGAGGGTTCCGGTCTTCAGAAAAGGAAGTTTCAGTCCCTGGCTGCGGTGTTGGGAGTAAGGGCATCATGTTTGATCAGCGACTGAGCATCTCTAGCGGTCCGTAATTTTCGGTCTTAATTGTGGTTATTAATTAAACAGCCCCGCTCAAAATAGTGATTGCCGCCAGGTGGAGATCGGTATTTAGTGGTGCTGCCGGTAGTGGACTCTGAGGGGGTTCAGCGGCTGATTGGGAATTTGTGGGACTAGTGATTGAGCGTGTCTGTGTGATTCTGCGTCTCTCAGAGTCACGGATTGGGGTCACATGGATATCAACGGTTGGGTCCTGAAGGCAGATATCCATTTTTAGGGTTATTTTGGATCAGTGTGGGGGTTGTAGTGGGCTACTGTTAGGAGCCTATTTGGTAGCTTGGGGAGCAGATGGCTCGCGACCAGTGATTGGGGCTCCAGCCCTGAATAATAATAGTTTGCATTCAGGCTGCACTCCACACATACTGTGTGCTGGGTTTTCTTGTATGGGTTTTATGCATGTAAGGATATGAGAGTCAGGGGAGAGTTCCCATCCTCCCCCCGGAGGTTTTGTTTCCACCCTTGGATCTATCTGGTGAATGGACTTCAGGCAGTTTATATTCTCTACTACTGTCTTTTAGCTAGCTAAGTACTTCAAGCCGAAGTCTCTCAAAAACCCTTTCTCAAAGCTGTGCCTTTTCCCTTTGCCTGTCTTTCAATCCATGTGCTCTCTGGGTAATTTCAACCACACTCATTCTATCAGCTTCCGCCTTTAAAAGTATGACTTGCCAGTCTATAGCACCAGCCCAGACATTTCTAACACGCTCCAGATTCACAGTAGACAACTGTCTCCACATCTCTGTGAGGTTTACTCACAGGATCTCAACCTTAACGTGATGGCAGTAGACAATATCATCTTCCTTCTCCATACTTCACCTGCTAATCCTACTATGTTCATCATTATGAATAACGTCACTCACTCATCTTCTAGATGGCCATAGTACAAATCCTGGAGACATCTAGTTTTCTCCCCACCCTTCTCCCTATGTTGGATCAATCTTCTGATCCTGGTGATTTTGCCTCCCTGACATCTCTCCAGTTTGTCCTCCCCCCCATTCCCACTGCCATGGTCTTAGTTCAGGCTTCATCATCCCTTGCCTTAAACTTCTATCAGGAAAACCCAGTGTCAGAGTGTTGGACACTATGGGCAAGTCAAAGGAAGGAATAGCTGAGTCTATCCAGGAGACATTTGAAAAGGCTTTCTAGAGGAGGTGACATTTGAACTGAGCCTATACATTTGAAGTGGTCCTATAAGTCTATGGATGAAAGTGACTGTTACAGCTTATTGAATTTATTGAGCTAGTGAATTGTGCCCTTTAGAACTTCCTTGATATGAGTTTGGGTTAAGAGGTCAGTAGAATAACAGCTGCTAAAAAGTAACAGTTTATTCTAGAAAAACTGGAAAATGAAAATGCTAAATATAACCCAATAGAAATCACTTGTAATTCTACCACCCAAAGGTAACCATAACATTTTGATGTATGTCCTTTCACACACTTTTTTTCTTTCAAATATATTTCTTTTCAATATATTTGTTGTTTTATAACCTATTTTCTTGCTTTGTAATACAAGACCCTTTTTCCAAGTCTGTAAATACTTTTCTAAGATAATTTAATGGCTGTCTAGTATTCTATACTTTGATAACCGATGTAACCAATCCCTATTGTTGAACATCTAGGTGGTTTCTACTTTTTAAGTGATCAAACAGCATCGTGATGAATATCCTTGCAGATATATCTTTATGTACATCCATGCTTATTTTTTTAGGATAAATATCTAATTATAGATTTATGGGGTCAAAGGAGGAGAAACTTCTTAAACATACAATGGGATACACATCCACAAAGATAAAACAGATCATGGCCTGACCCTTTCAGAACTGTAATAGGTTGATGTTATCACAGCATAATCTTTTGTGGTCCCTCAAAGGAAACTTTGAAAGGGGCAGTCTCTGAAAGGTAGTCTTTTATGTAGTTGGTTATAGGAATTTCTAGGCTCATAGTTCTGGGAATCACAGGGCAGGCCCAGATTCTCAAGGTGGTCTTCTTTTTATCCCCTCCCTGCCCATCCCAGCTCTGTCTTTACCGATATCTGCACCTTCTGAAGAGCAACAGAAAATGACCAATTCTCAGGTAAGTGAGTTATTTATATCCCATATTATTTTCCATTGTATTTGAGGCAGTTTAAAAGAATTATTCAATTAAATGAAAAAATGTAAATAGAGATCTGGGAAAATAGAAAATCTAGACCAAATAATGTGTGAAATATAGTCATACAAGTTATAAGATCTTTTATAGTTATTGAAGTTGAGCATATCATCTACAATGATAGGATTTATATAACACATTAAATATGATATTTTCTTGAGGGAAGTAAAGAATTTTTGGCATTTAGGTTTGAAATTATTCTCTTGACGCATACATATGATGTAGTAGACAGTGTCTTTAACATTTACCAACCCATGATAAATACCATAGGAGGCCTCCCTATAGCTGTTTCTTAAGTCATTTCTCAAAATAACTACAGGGCGTCATAACAAGGCAGAAATCAATTTCTGGGCAGTAAAATCATGGGGCCCAGGTACATAGCTGTCAAAAAATGTCTTGATCCGTGAATAAAAGTTTGTGAAATTGGTCCAAGGAATTAATACTATTAAAGGTCATAATAGTATCAATTTTAATTTGCAGTTTTTAACCAATAAATAATGAAATATTTTTCCTTTAAAATGCAATAGGTTGGGGTGCCTGGGTGACTCAGTTGATTAAGTGTCTGCCTTCGGCTCAGGTCATGATCTCAGGGTCCTGGGATAGAGTTCCGCATCGGGCTCCCTGCTCAGTGGGGAGTCTGCTTCTCCCTCTTCCTCTGTGCTCTCGCTCTTTCTCTCTCTCAAGTAAATAAATAAAATATTTTTTAAAAATGCAATAGGTTGAGAGCCTCAAAGTGTATATCAGGTGAGTATGCTTCATGGATAGTGGAAATCAAGTGAATTTGCTCATTTCTGTTGGTTTATCACTCAGCTAAACATTGCTAGCAAGCATCTTAGTGGTTGTGATTGTCATATGGTTTTAAATGTTTTTATTTGAAGATATGTATCTAATTTTTATCTATCATATTCCATTCGTTATACCCACTATGTAGCACACAGTTTCAGTATAGTAGTCTTCAAAGTGGGGAGCATCCATTCCTTAGATGTGCAAGGTGATCCCCTGAGGTATGGGGAGAAAAGAACTACCTACATATCTTTTTTTTTTTTTTAAATTTTAGAGAGAAATGAGTGAGAGAGCACGGGTGGGGGGAGGGGCAGAGGGAGAGGGAGAAAAAGAATCTCAAGCAGACTCCCTGCTGAGTGCAGAGCCTGACACGAAGGGCTCAATCTCAGGACCCTGAGATCATGACCTGAGCTGAAATCAAGAGCTGAAATCACTCAACCAACTGAGCTACCCAGGCGCCCCTACCTACATGTCTTTTTAATGACCATATCTCAGTATTGAAATAATTTATGTTTTTTTAAAAAGGTATATATTATTGATGTGTGCACTTTTTTTTTTTTTAACTGAAAAATGTCTCATCAGGAGTCACCTCATTAGAACAAAAGACACTCCTTTCATCCAGGAAATTCTAAGGATTTTAGGAGTTCTGTGTCAGGAACCAGACAGAGTCAAAGAACAAATATTAGAGCAAAAGATGCTCGCCACACCTTTATTCCTTAGGAAATTATAAGGGTTTTAGGAATTCTGACTAGGAGCCAGGGATGAAGACCAAAATATGTATTTCTTATCATATCACAGTATCCAGTCTCTGATTTTAGAAGTTTGGGGAGGGGCGCCTGGGTGGCTCAGTCGTTAAGCGTCTGCCTTCGGCTCAGGTCATGATCTCAGGGTCCTGGGATCAAGACCTGCATCAGGCTCCCTGCTCCGCGGGAAGCCTGTTTCTCCCTCTCCCACTCCCCCTGCTTGTGTTCCCTCTCTCACGGTGTCTCTCTCTGTCAAATAAATAAAATCTTTAAAAAAAAAAAGAAAGTTTGGGGAATACTGGGTTATGTACCTGTAATTCTGCACCCATTTCCAATGTGTGGGGTTTCTTCCCCATACCACCAGGCAGTCAATCTCTGACACCAGCTGGCTGTCCTGCAATTTGGCTCAATTTTGACACTATCCACTTGGAGATAGTGTCAGATCGTATAGGTCAAGGGCTCGGTCCCACAAGACTGCCCTTCACTTCAGATGCCAATCACAAGTCCAAGTTGTTGCCTCTGCTTTGGACTCACTAGGTATAAATCAGAGGTTCCCACAACCCCCTCCTTTGGTTCTATTAATTTGCTAGTGTAGCTCCTGGGAGTCAGGAAACCAATTTAAACACTTGATTGCCAGTTGATTACAAAGGATATTAAAGGATACAAATCAACAGCCAAGGAAGAGATACATACATAAGACAAGGTCCTGAACAAAGAAGCGTGGAGTCCAAGGCTTGGCACCTGGCATCTGTCACGTGGAAACATTCTGGTAGCTCTCTGAACTCTCTCAGGTCTTTCTGGAGGCTTCATGATGTGGGCATGATCAATTAAATCATTGGCCATTGGTGATGGATTGAACCTCCAGCCCCACCTCCCTCCCCCCAAATCAGGAGTGGGACTGAAAGTTCTGTCTACTCTTGGTTGGTGCCCCTGGTGACCAGCCACCCCCTCCTTAGGTGCTTTCCAAAAGCCATGTCATTATCATAACAAAAGGCACCTTTATCGCCTTCATCACAGGAAATTCCAAGGGTTTTAGGAGCTCTATGCTAGGAAATACAAAGACCAAATATACATTTCTTATTCTAAATCACATTATCAGTACTGTTGGTACTAAAACCGAACTAACATGAGTTTACTCTTTGGTGAGTCACAGATAGAAACTACACCAGGGAGAGTTATCTCACAAAGGAAACTTAAACTAAAGTTAATTTGGGCCAATAGAATTTTTGTGGTGAAATATAAAATTTGCCATTTTAACCATTTTTAAGTGTGCAATTCAGTGGTATTATGTTTGCAATTTGTGAATCCATCACCACTCTCTGTTTCCAAAACTTTTTCATCATCCCGAACAGAAGCTCTGTACCCATTGAGCAATAACTCCCATTTTTCCCTTACCCCCACAGCCCTTGGTAAACTCAAAAACTACTTTCTGGCTCTATGAATTTGCTTACTCTAGGTATTTCATAGAAGTGGAATCATATGAAATTTGTCCTTTTGTGTCTAACTTACTTCACTTCGCATGTTTTTGAGGTTTATCTACGCTGTAGCATGTATCAGAACCTCATTCCTTTTTATGGCTGAGTAATATTCCATTATATAAACACATTTTGTCTATCCCTTCATCTGATGGACACTCAGGTTGTTTCTACCTTTTGGCTTTATTGTAAATAAAGCTGCTATGAATTGCCTACAAGTATCTCTTTGAGTACCTGTTTTCAAATCTTCGGTATATACCTATGTCAACCAAAATTCCTGGAATGCAGAGATTTAGTCAGAGGCAAGGGAAAGCTTTATTGCCATACAGTGTGTAAACCAGGGAGATCGCAGCCTTCAGCTACAACCAAAAGTGTGCTCTGAAGGGGAAGGTTTATGTTTGGGGTTAAATAGGCAAAAACTGCAAGTTCTGTGCCCTTATCCAGGTTGGTCAGACTGCAGTCCTAAGCTGTAACCTGTCATCCTAAGGAGTAGAATGACAAACAGGATACAGCCTGCTATTCCTGGTGGCAGCATCAGGCTGTGGCAGCCACGGAGAACATGGTAAGATGTGTTGCAAGGGATTTTATGGATTTTGTTGACTTTTGTGCAGGTTTGTCACCTCATGATATGCTAACTGGTTTTGTTTCCCATGGTCATTTGGGCAGGTTAAAACTGTAGTTTCTCTCCCTTGACATGAAGGACTCCATCTTGTCTTTCAGCTGGTGTTGTCCAATTATTGGGGTCTTTTTTTTTCACCTAGCGGAATTGCTGGGTTATATGGTAATTCTGCATTTAACTTTTGGAAGAACTGCCCAAGTATTTTGTGTAGCAGCTGCACCATTTTACATTCCCACCAGCAGCCTATGAGGGTTCCAGTTTCTCCACATCCTCACTAACACTTGTATTTTCCATTTTGTTGATTATAACCATCCTATTAGGTGTAAAGTTGTATCTCCTTGTGGTTTTGACTCGCATTTCCCAAGTGACTAGTAAGGTTGAGCATCTTTACATGTGCTTATTGTCCATTTGCATATCTTCTTTGGAGAAATGTTTATTGAAAACCTTTGCCCATTTTTAAATCAAATCATTTGTCCTTTTACTATTGGACAAGTAGATTCCACTTCTCTCCTCCCCCCAAACCTGCTCGCTCTTATTTTCTGGACTTGAGTGGGATGCCAGTTGCTTAGCCCGAAACCCAAGCACTCTTAGTTGATTGCTCTCCTTCCCTCATCTTCCCACTGTCTTTCAGATACATCTTAGTTGGATTTGATCAACATCAAATTTAAAAATTGAATTCTCTTATTGAGGTGGAACCTAATCATGGTTTGAAAAATAAGTAAAAACAAAGTAATACTTTATTACTAACTGGTCATAAGTTATTCTATTCTTCTTATTTCTAAGTAGGTATTTAAAAAAATAAATTGACCAAATTAAATATTGCTTACATTTTATTGTCTTTATTTTAGTTTAAACTTTAAAAACAATGGTTTTGTTGTATTTAATTTTTATAAGTTCTTTAAGGGAAAATGCCAACATACACAAAAATTTAGAGAACAGTTTAATAAACCCCTGTGTTTCTTCTTATATTTTCAGCGATTACCAGTGTTTTTCCAATCTTATGTCTTTCCCCTCTTACTTCATTTGTTCTCTAGAGTCTTTTGTTTGTATTTTTTTATTTTTGAGTAGGCTCCATGCCCAGTGTGGAGCCCAGTGGGGGCTTGATCTTAACGACCTTGAGTTCAAGACCTGAGATGAGATCAAGAGTCAGATGTTTAACCAACTGAGCCACCCAAGCACCCCTGTTCTCTAGAGTATTTTAAAGCAGACCCCATAAATGACATTTCATCACTATATGCTTGTTTTGCAGATTTTGTTATCTTCATTTTAGGAACTGATACTGGTTTTCCCTTTAGTGGTTTCCTTTTAAAATCATTTATTTAAGTAAAAGAGTTGTTAAAACTATTAAGTCAAAAATAGTGTGAGTGACATGCAGATACATAAAAATTGTGAAAACAGTAAATGAATAAATGATGTCTGAGCATTATTCCAAAGGTACAAACAGTTCCTTGAATTTGCCATGTTCTTTTTCTCATCCCCATCGCTTTTTTCTTTACTCATTTCTCCATCTAGAATGATCTTTCTCCCTCCTCCATATCTTACTGGAGTTTACACTATTCATTTTTTTTTTTTTAAAGATTTATTTATTCATTTGAGAGCGAGAATGAGAGAGAGTACATGAGAGGGGGGAGGGTCAGAGGGAGTAGCAGGCTCCTCGCTGAGCAGGGAGCCCGATGCGGGACTCAATCCCAGGACTCCAGGATCATGACCTGAGCTGAAGGCAGTTGCTTAACCAACTGAGCCACCCAGG